GAGTGGGCAAGGGGGTGCCTTTGGTCACCTATAATGTTCCTTGCCTTTTTCCCTGTCTTGTCTCTGTAGATGTCTTCCATACATGGCACAGTAGTGCCCAGTAACTTACTGGATATGGATATAATTTCTCTAACCCTCTTTTTCTGTGCCTCTGTGGCATTGCCAAACCAGCAGGTAATACAAAAAAGAAAGAATGCTTTCGATAAAAGCGCAGTAAAACATTTGGAGCATTCTACTTTCATCATTAAAAGACAGAAGTTTCTTGAAGTGGAACTTTCTTTGTTGAGACTTGGTACAGATTTGATCTGTCCACTTCTCCCACATAAGCTTAAAGTCAAGCACGATCCCTAAGTATTTAAACTCAGAGACTTGTTGAATTGGCTTTCCCTTGATTAAAGTTACTGTATTGGGGGCTTCTTCTTTTCTAAAATCTATACACATTTCCTTGGTTTTTGAAGGATTGAGGAGAAGGTTTGACTTATCACACCAGTTAGTAAAGTATTCAAGAACTGGACTATGCTCCTTTTCCTCATCATTTAAAAGACTGACCAAGGCAGCATCATCTGCATACGTCTTAAAATTTTTTGAAAGGTGCTAGAACATGAATTAGTATATAAAATAAATAAAAGAGGAGACAAGACACATCCCTGAGGGAAGCCAGTGAAAGTGATCGCTTTTTCAGACAGTGATGCTTTGACCTGCTGGATTCAACCACGAAGAAAATCCACAATCCAAGCAATCAGGCCAGCTTCAAGTGCAAATTCGCTCAATAATACATTTGCTAATGTTTTGGGCCTGATTGTATTAAAAGCGGATGAAAAATCCGCAAATAAAATCTTACCATGAGCCTTAGGCTTCTCAAGGTGACTATAAATTAAGTGCAAAAGAGTCATGATGGTGTCATCCACCCCTCTGGATGCTTGATATGGAAATTGCAGGGGGTTTAAGAGATGCTGTGTTTTAGTCAAGATAAATTTCTTTACAAGGCGCTCAAAACACTTCATTATAGGTGATGTCAAAGCTATAGGACGAAAGTCACTAAGCTGACTAGGATTTGAAGTCTTTGGTACTGGTGTGATGACTGCAGTTTTCCAAAGAGCGGGGACAGTTTCAGAGATGAAAGAGGACTTAAAAAGGCCGGTAAACACAGGTGCTAATTGGTCTGCACATTTTTTTTAAGACATTACCATTGATATTATCTGGGCCTGGGCTTTTCCGCGTATTACAGCCTCTGAAAAGCTGAAGGACCTGAGATTCCTTAATTTTAATGCTTGATGGAGGGGGAGGTGGGAGGGGGATAACCGTGGAGGCCTCATCTGTAGGTTCTACACTCTCAAACGGCAGAAGAAGGCATTGAGCTGGTTTGCCATCTCATTTTCCTCACTCCCATTGAGGGTGAAGGATTGTTTCTCCCTACCCTTATGTGGTATGCATGTCATCTTTTTAACTCTCTGCCAAGCCTCTCTGGACTTACTAGAGGTCAGGGAGGCCTCTAACTTCAATTAATAATTGTGTTTGTCCACATGCACCTGTCTCTTAATTTCTCTTTGTAGTTCCTTCCTTGTGTGCTCATCCTGATCTCTATAAGCTTTCATTTTCTGAATAATAAGTTTCTTTAGTTTTCTGGTAAACCATGGCTTATCGGTAGGATAAACTTTGAATGTCCTATTTGGCAACACAGAATCCACACAAAAATTGATGTAGCTGGACACTGCCTGAATATGTGCAACTTTATGTGAGTGTCTTTATTTGTGGAAAGGGATGTTTGTCTTACTAGTGGCTCCAACATTACACACACCAAATCCATCTGTGCTTATATGAGAGAGTGTGAAGGACGCCCTCTGCAGCGTTTACAGTGACACTTGTTGAGAAGCTGCCTTCTGTCGCCATCGTGTGGCATTGCTGTCTTCAGCCATCTCTTGATCTCTTTGACTACTTCACCAAAATAGTAATACGCCTTGCCAGTGGCGGATTCACAGGCGAGGAGAGGAGCTGATGTTATTGGTCAATACAGGTCTCGGCTGTGTTAAACCCACTCCACGCCCTCTCTCCCCCTTCGCTACGACTTACGCCGCTGGGAGGAGCTGAGTAAGGGAGGGGGGATGCTTACGCCGGGCTGCACCGATCACCAAAATACCAAATTGTGCTTGGGAACGCCTTGTTGGCGCGGCCGACCTGACTTACATTGCGCCTGCGCCACTTCTCTGGCGAAGCACAAAAATAGAGCCCAGTGAGTTTTGAATGTGATTTATGGAGCCCATGCAGTGATTTCCACTCCAGAGTCCTGTCTGTTTTAGTACAGATATTTCTCCAGATTCTCTGAATCTTTGAATGATATTATGTACTGTAAATGATTAAATCTACTCATTCTTCAACACTCATGAACAACTGTTGAACTATGAGCTCACGCAAGCTCTCACAGAGTGGTGAACCTCTGAGAGACTCAGCCTCTCTGGGATGTTCCAACTGCTTAAATCGGTATAACTGTCATTGAATGTAAAATACGCATTTATATATATATATATATATGCGCACACACACACACACACACACACACACACACACACACACATATATATATATTTGTGTTAAACGATTAAAATTTGTAATCATTTAATCACAGTTATTTTTGATTGAGCACGATTAGACATTACTCATTCATTTTAATCTATATTAATGGTGTTTCATTTCACATGAGCTCAAAAAAGCCAGAGAGCTAGAAATCTTCCTGACTAATGTATGCTTTGTGTTAATGTGGTATTTTAAAGTGGAAGTGCTTCGGTGATAGGTAAACTCCTTCCTGCAGAGTGGGAACACTACTTAATGTTGGATGACTGTTCCGTCATGATTTTTTTGTACACAAATTTCCCATGGAGAGGGCCAACGTGCTGTTTTCTGTCTTCTTTGTTGTTTGAAGCCTGTGCAATGGTAACACTACTTGAACAAACTGCTCGAAATGCATTGCCAGTGATGTTTCAGGAATTTTGAGTCATTCTGTGCTGCAGATGGGTTGAATGTGTTGGAAATTTTAATCAGATTAATCATAATGATGGATTAATCTGGGTTTATTTGTTAATTTTGACAATAATTATATATAATAATTGTTTTATTAGAAATATATATAATAATATATTATATATATTTCTCATAAAATATCTTTTCTGTTTTGACAAGTTGTCTTTTCACCGTCTTCAGTTAGAAAAAAGGGTTTTTATTGATATACAAATCACCAGAATCTGTTACTATCTACATTTTTGCCACACCATAATAACTGGAATAGTACAGCTGCACCTGCTGTCAAATTTGGTGTGAGTTAACAAAAAGGCAGGTACATGAATATCAAATATGAAAACTGTAATGTTCACAACATTGAGTATCTTTCTTTTTGGTCATATAACTTTTACAAAAACAACAACCCTTATTTAGCCTTATAGCTGAGCAGATAAGGAAATAATCGTTCACTTTGTTGTACAAGCATGAAATTTGGTACATATACTCTTCAAACCCCACTCTTTTCAAAAATAACGTTAGCCACACAAAATACCAAGATGGGGGCCCCAAAATCCAAGATGTCCGCCCCAAAATGTGGTTTTTCCTTTATAACTCAAAATGACTTGATTTTACATATATTGAAGTTGAATATAAAGTTGGGTATTGCGGACATTTTGGTACCTAGTACATCTCTGTATCCATTACGGTTCTTGAGATACAGCATATAGATACTTGTACAGAATTGGGAGAGTGAGAAATTTGTAACACCGATTGTTTTTACGTGCATATGGTTATATGAAAATATAATTTCCATTATCTGTTATTTTCATGAGGGTTATAACATTAAATATGAAAACCAAGATGGTGTCCAAGATGGCTGCCATTGCCTTGAAGTAATCATGAATTCAGCAGAGATGAATGTGTGTAAGGTTTTAAAAAAAACACCACAAACAATACGGGTGCGCCCCCTAGTGGTTTGTTTGCCCAGAATCCAAAATTCAACACCTCAGTTTGAAACCCAAAATAAGTGACAGAAGAGATTTTTCAATGGATTCTGTTACTATTGGGTATGGGAGGTGTGTGTGTGTGTGTGTGTGAGTGGGGGGGTTGTTCGAAGACATTTGTTTTGCTTAAAGGGCAACTACTCTCTGGCTACTTGCGGGGGAGGCCACATGGAGGCTGTCCTCTCCTCTTTGTCGCAGTCCTCCACTGTGGGAGGGTAAATACCCAGTTTGGCGAATACAGGCAAGGATTCTGGACATATGTCCCATGTATGCCAAGCCATTTTCTTGCTTTTGGTGCGGAAGGCAGACACAGTGTCACATCCTGTAAAGGCATGGAAGAAGAGCATGCCTTTTACCTTCTCCTGGCCAACATGCTGAAATATGTCATACACACTGATCCAGCGCAGAGTCTGACCTTGCCCAAATGCAAGCCACATATGCTGTAGGCCAGCCTCTTGGAGACCGCTGAATACACTTATTGCTAAGATCTGAACATCTGTGTCATTTGCCTTGATCATGATGGATTGGCTTCCAGTTGCATGTTTGGCATGCACGAAGATGCTGCTGTCCGCTTCCTCGTGAGAGCATTTATCCAGTCCATCAAGGCCAGTTGCACGAGTGCTGAGGACAGCAGGTCCCTTTGTGAAGATGATGGTATTTAGGGCAAACATTTGTGCAACCTTGTCGGCAAGGGTGGGACAACTCTGTTTTGTTGTCATTGTGCCTCAGGAAGTTATGCCAGTTAGATAGCATGGTGTTCTTATTTGTTACCTTGCATCTTTCCCCCTGGCCACGTTTGGACCTGGTCTCAGCTTTAAGGCTTGATGGGTTTTACACATCAAAGACCAGATGTGTCATTGTGTACTTGCTGGAGTACATGTAGATCACAGGTAGGAAGTTGAGAGCTGCATAGTCCTCAAAAGTCTTGGATCTTTTTGGTGGCAGGGCGTGGTCCAAAGCTGACCCATCTACAATGAGAATGTCTGCCTCAGGTTCCTTGTCAACTGGTGGGACATAATTCTCAAGGATAGGGGTCAGCTGAGACTTCTGGCAAGTGTACAATTTTCCACCCATGCTCAATGCAACAGGGAAGGACTGGTTCTCATGCTGAAAGAACTCGTGGAGGTCATGCTGAGTTACATGTAACCCAGGTTAAAAATCTGTAGTGAAAACAATTCATTATGTATTAAAATCCAAGATGTTTGAATATAGAGAGACCGTTAAATTCATAGTAGAAAAACAATTCATCGAATATGATGCTTATTAGCTGATTAAAACAAACATGTTCATTTAAAAGGAGAAATTTAATAGTAACAGAAAAGTCATGGATTTGTAATTTGAAAGAGCGGTCTTTCATCCAATCAGAAGAGAAGCTCCCACCCACTGACCCCAATCGCGCGGGTTAACTTCCTCTGAAGCCGCTATGAGAACGAGAGCAAGCCAGATTGAGCGCGAGACGAGTCAGAACACAATTTCGGATGGTAAAACAATTAAAAACCTGGATAAAACTGAGAGAAAGCTGTAGGAAAAATTCCCCCGGCCGACCTGGACCTGTGTGAGCGCAGTGAGAGAAGCCGTACGGGAGGAGAAACGCATCGGTGAGCGATGAGTTTGAGATGCTAAATTGTAAAAGCTAACGGCGACACGTAGCGTAGGCGCTAATGTCGGAGCGCTAGCTCCAAGTGCTATTTAACATTGGGGTAGACACACTAGGATATGAACGCAATGCATTAGTCTGCCATTTTGTTTTTGCATAAGAGACATTTGTTTTCCCCTTTTTGTTAGTTCTTTTTTCTGTGCTCACTGAGCAGTATAGAGTGTGTATTTAGCATTCTGCCTGTGAATTTTAAGTATTTCTGAGAATTGTGATGTCATATTACAACAGAAATTCAGTAACCAGAAGTTATTCTCTATTGAAGTAGAGTTTGTATAGACTTAATATGATTTTATACCAATTCATTGAGAGTTGGCAAAGTTAAAATGAATGCTCTGACCCTACCCGTCGTAGGTCAGGTTTTTCTGTTGGACCTACGTGGATGATGGAGCCAGTCGAAGTTTGATGGCGAGCCAAACCCCGGAGGATACTTAGAGATACCGCGGACCCTGAATCCTTTTTCACTGTGACATACATACACATCACCCTCACACTAGTGAGGTGGGACCCTTTTTTTTTAATTGTACAAAGTTGGTTGGACTGAACATTAGCGACATAAGCAGCTGCAGAGATTTTATTTTATTTTCATACTTACCCGGGTAAGAGTTGTTTAGACTGTGTTAATACATGTGTTATTATTGTGGCCTTCCCGTTCTGTTTTAATAAATAGGGAAACATTTCTGTATTTTTAAAAAGTGCACTGTGGTTGTGTCGTTCTTGTGCATCCATTGGTTTATCCTGGGCTCCGTAGTCAAACCTTAGAGCTTCTGATAATACTGGTCATTAGATCTAATCATCCCCCCTCTCTTCTTTAAAGAGAGAAGTGTTACAATTCGTGGCGAGCCAGCCAGGAGCCTAGTTATTTACCGATCGATCGCCTGGAACAAACTATTTCATTTTTATTTTGTGATAACACACATTGCAGAAAAAAAACGGAGGTCATTGATAAGTTGGGTATCAAAGTTCCAAATGCCGTTCTAGTGAGTGGGTTGACAGGATCTGAAAAAGATGAAGAGATTTTTGATATTTTGAAAAAATATGGTTCACTCAGTAGGACTGAAAAGATAGATGATCCGAATACAGAGTTTCATACAAACCTGATAGTAGAGTATAACTATGGCACTGCTCTAGAAGCGTTAGAACCCCTTTTGCCTTATGCTCACCCATCGTCAGGCAATTCTGGTATTGCCTTCCATGTTCGAGCCCTGGCGAGTGTCTACACACAAAGGGTAAGCGGTGATGTCACACAAAATTACCTCCAGAAACTGAAAGGAATCGCCAAACTCAGTGGAAAGGATTTTGAGGAGGTGTTAAAGGAGGCCATGTCGCAAATAGAGGAATCTATTGATGATGCTGAGTCCAGTGAGCATGTCACTACCCCCCAATATTCAGTGGAAGCTGAGAAGACGGCAGAGCCCAGCCAGCATGACATTACATCACAGCTTTTGGTTGGTGCTCCCCCTCCTCTTGGTCCTGGTCTCTCTGATGTTAATCAGAGAATGACTGCTCCCCCTTTTTACTCAAAGACACCCTCAACTCCCAGTGAGCTCAACCCACCTGAAGTGCAAAAGATAGTGGTGGAGCACATTGTGAGGAATGAAGACAGGTCTTCACAGTCTCACTCTACCCTGAGACTGAGAGGTTTCTCTGGGAAGATCCCTCGACCATACAGTGAGGTTGATTATGACACTTGGAGGTCCCATGTTGATTTGATGATGAAAGATGGTTCTGTCTCTGACCTTGATAAAACTCGTAAAATCCTCGAAAGTCTTCTTGTTCCAGCTTCAGATGTCATCAAGCATCTTGGCTCTGAAGCGCCTCCTACAGCCTACTTGCAATTGTTAGACTCTGCATTTGCCACGGTTGAAGATGGGGAAGAACTGTTTGTGCGGTTCATGAGCACATTCCAGGATTCTGGAGAAAGACCATCTACATACCTGCAGCGTCTCCAGGTTGCCCTGGGTAACGCGGTGCGCAGAGGGGGTGTCCCAGCACAAGATGGAGACAAAAACCTACTCCGACAATTTTGCAGGGGCTGTTGGGATAACGTCCTGCTTGCTGACCTTCACCTAGAGCACAAAAAACAGAACCCTCCATCATTTGCTGAGCTCTTAAAGCTTGTACGTACTGAAGAGGGTAGACAAGAAGCCAAGATCATGAGAATGAAACAACACTTGGGTACCACGAAACAGAAAGCTGTGTCCCACGTGCAGACTGTGTGTGACTGCAGCGAGACCCGAGACGAGTCTGATGCAAAGAGCATACATGAGCTAAGGAAACAGGTTGCAGACCTGAAAAGTCAGCTAACATCCCTCATGAAAAAGAAAAAGGCAGCATCTCCCAAACAAGAAAAAGTTAAGGTGACAGAAACACAAAAACCTGACCATGCAAACACAGAAACCAACTTACCTTCCCATACGAGTGCAAAATCCAAGCCAAAGCCCTGGTACTGTTTTCGCTGTGGGGAGGATGGGCACATCGTCGCCACCTGTGAGTCAGATGCCAACCCTGCCCTGGTAGCAGCGAAAAGAAAAGAACTGAGACAACGGCAGCAGTTATGGGAGACACAGAACACCTCGTCTTTTCCTTTAAACTGAGCTCAGTTCTTGTTGCGGGACAGACAAGAACTGAGACTGGTCAGCCAGGTCCCACTGAACCCAACCCAAAAGTCAAGCAATGTGCTATGCTAAAGCAGTCTCACACAAGAGCTCAACCCTTCAAGCTACCTAAAGGGTTGGTTGGTACAAAGAGCACAGCATGGGTAGGAGTGGCAGGAAGCCCCACAGCATCTCTATTGGACACGGGCTCCCAGGTCACCACAGTCCCTCAGTCGTTCTATCAGCAACACCTTTCTGAACATGAAATCAAGCCACTGTACGACTTACTAGAAGTTCTAGGAGCCAATGGCCAGTGTGTACCCTACCTGGGATACATTGAGCTGAACATCACTTTTCCAAAGGAGTTTCTAGGGGTGGAATTTGAGGTGCCAACACTCGCTTTGGTGGTCCCAGATGTTCATGCTGCTTCTGATTCCCTCATACTGATAGGTACTAACACACTTGACGTGCTGTACGAAATGTACATTGAATCTGCTTCTGAAACACAGCAACCAACAGCTCAAGGCTACAAGGCCGTTCTCAAAGTTCTTGAGCTGCGGCACAGGCAAAGTAAGGATGGAAACCTTGGGCTGGTGAAGTTGCATGGCAAGGGTGCCCAGTTGGTTCCAGCAGGCCAAACCGTAGTTTTGGAAGGCTGTGTTGCAGTCAGTAGGTTCGCTAATGAGAAGTCAGTGGTTCTGGATCACCCTTCCTCATCTTCGTTGCCAGGTGGTCTGCTGGTGAAACCCTGTCTTGTTGATTTGCCAACTAAACAGCCACGCAAAGTCCCAGTAGTACTTACCAATGAGTCAGACCGCAATGTTATAGTTCCTCAGCAGTGTATTATTGGTGAAATCAGTGCTTTTCAGAGAGTTTTCTCAAAAGAACAAGGTGAATCTACCTCAAGACCAGACTCACCCCAGAAGTCCGACATCACAATCAACTTCAGTGACTCTCCTATCCCTGCCAAATGGAAAGAGCACATCACAGAGAAACTGAACAGTATGCCGGAGGTGTTTGCACAGAATGACCTCGATTTCGGCAGAACCAACAAAGTCAAGCACCAGATAAAGCTCTCTGATGAGACCCCATTCAAACACAGAGCCCGCCCCATACATCCCCACGACTTGGAAGCCGTTCGTAAACATCTGCAGGAACTGCTTCAAGCTGGAGTGATCAAAGAATCTGACTCCTCATTTTCTTCACCCATAGTTGTAGTGAGGAAGAAGAACGGAGATGTCTGCCTCTGTATCGATTATAGGAAACTCAATCTCCAGACTGTGAAGGATGCTTACGCACTCCCAAACCTGGAAGAAGCTTTCTCTACGCTCACCGGATCAAAGTGGTTCTCAGTCCTTGACCTAAAATCCGGTTACTATCAGATAGAAGTCGAAGAAGCGGACAAACCCAAAACCGCCTTTGTGTGTCCCATGGGGTTTTGGGAATTTAACCGGATGCCTCAAGGTGTCACAAACGCTCCGAGCACGTTCCAGCGTCTAATGGAGAGATGTATGGGGGATATGAATCTCAAGGAGGTCCTTGTGTTTCTCGATGACATCATTGTTTTTTCCAAGACGTTGGAAGAGCATGAAGTGAGGCTGATGAAGGTTTTGACACGGCTACGAGAGTTCGGCCTTAAGCTCTCCCCGGACAAATGCAAGTTTTTCCAAACGTCGGTCAAGTATTTGGGGCATATAGTGTCTCAGGACGGAGTGGGAACTGACCCCGGAAAAGTGGAAGCCCTAAAACAGTGGCCCAGACCTCAAGACCTGAAACAGCTAAGGTCTTTTCTTGGGTTTTCGGGTTACTACAGAAGATTCATAAAAGACTATTCCACCATAGTTAGACCCCTCACTGACCTGACATCGGGCTATCCTCCACTACACAAGAACATCAAACACAAGGCACAGACTTACCAATACCACGACCCAAAGAAGCCATTTGGTGCTCGCTGGACTGATCGCTGTGAGCTAACATTCAACACCATCATTGAGAAGCTCACTACAGCTCCTGTTCTTGGGTTTGCTGATCCCAGGGTGCCGTACGTCCTCCACACAGATGCCAGTACCACAGGCCTTGGAGCAGCCTTATACCAAGAGCAAGATGGTCACATGCGAGTGATCGCATATGCTAGCAGGGGCCTGTCACGCAGTGAGTCAAGATACCCAGCACACAAGCTAGAATTCCTAGCTTTAAAATGGGCTGTCGTCGAGAAATTTTGTGATTACCTGTATGGTAACCAATTCACCGTTGTAACCGACAGCAACCCCCTAACGTACGTCCTTACCAGTGCCAAACTGGATGCCACCAGTTACAGATGGCTGGCAGCCCTCTCAACATTCACCTTCACACTCCAGTACAGGCCAGGTAAACTGAACAGTGATGCGGACGGTCTTTCTAGGAGGCCACATGGAGAGCCTTCAAATGACCTGAAGTCCCAGAAAGAACAGGAGCGCATCAATCAGTTCACACGAACACACTTGGCTGACCTTGAGGGTAGTGTGAGCCACAACGTCGTGCGCGCCATCTGTGAGAGGCATCTTGTTTGTGGCACACCAAATGATTGTGAAGACAGCGATGGAGGCATGGCGCTGGTGCAGTCTCTGGCAACCTCTCCTGAAGTCCTGCCAGACAGTTTCGTGGACGAGCATGGTAGCTTATCTGGTCTTCCTCATCTGTCGGAGGTTGAAATGAGAGATTTGCAGCGAGCAGACTCCTGTCTCAGAGAGGTAATAGCTCAAATTGAAAGTGGAGAAAAGCTACCTCCAACAGTCAGAAGAGAACTTCCTGACGTTCCTTTCCTTCTAAGGGAGTGGAATCGTCTTGAAATAAAAAATGAAGTGTTGTACAGAAGACGGCAAGACAGTGGCAAAGTCACATATCAACTTGTCTTACCTGAGAAGCTCCGGGCAGTTGTTCTTAAGAGTCTTCATGATGAAATGGGTCACTTAGGTACTGAACGTACCTTGAATTTGGTGCGGACCAGATTTTTCTGGCCTAAAATGGTGGCTGATGTGGAAAGAAAAATAAAGACCTGCGAACGGTGCATCCGCAGAAAAGCACAGCCAGAAAAGGCGGCACCACTGGTGAATATAGAATCCACCAGGCCCTTAGAGCTTGTTTGTATGGATTTCTTGACTGTAGAGCCTGACAGAAGCAATGCAAAGGATATTCTGGTGATCACTGATCATTTTACGAAGTATTCAGTTGACATACCAACACCAAATCAGAAAGCTCAGACCGTCGCCAGGTGCCTTTGGGACAACTTCATGGTCCATTATGGAATCCCAGAGCGATTGCACAGCGACCAAGGACCTGACTTTGAGTCACGGACAATCAAAGAGCTCTGCAAAATCACTGGAATCCGTAAAATCCGTACAACACCCTATCATCCCAGAGGGAATGCAGTCGAACGTTTTAATAGAACGTTGCTGAGCATGTTGGGAACACTTGACAACAAAGACAAATCACAGTGGCGGAACTTTGTGAAACCTTTAGTACATGCGTACAACTGTACGAAGAATGATGTAACAGGGTTCACACCCTATGAACTCATGTTCGGTCGTCAACCGAGGCTACCTGTCTATCTAGCCTTCGGGTTACCCTTGAGAGATGGTGAGTACAAGTCTCACTCACAGTACGTTCAGAGACTCAAGTCTCATCTGGATGAGAGTTACAAGATTGCCACCCAGAACGCAGCTAAGACAGCAGCGAGGAACAAGGCAAGATTTGACAGCCATGTCACTGCTTCTAAATTGGAGGCGGGCGACAGGGTGTTAGTGAGAGCTGTTCGTCTACGTGGCAAACACAAGCTTGCTGATAAGTGGGAGACAGATGTTTATGTGGTGGTGAAGCAAGCTGGAAATCTCCCAGTTTACACCCTTAGACCAGAGAACAAGGATGGCCCCTTGCGAACCCTTCACAGAGACCTCATGCTTCCCTGTGGTTCTCTTCCACTGAGTGTCGAAAAGCTGGACTTGCCCAGACCACGCAGGCCACAGACACGAAAGTCTATTGAACAACCTGATGATGTAAACGATCAGTGCGACTCTGAGGATGACATTCCATACGAGTGGTTCAGAGAGCAGCCTGAGACAGAAATTGCAAGATTCACGACTGTCCATGAAGTCCCTAGACCAAACTTCACAGCCCCTTCCTCAAAGAAAGACGGGAGGAACATATCTGAACAACGCTTACCTGTCGATACTCCAGTTGGTGAGGAACACTTACCTGATATCCCATGTGGCGACTCACGTAGCAATGAAGCAGGAAATTTCCCAGAAGTTCTGCCCACTGCTCCAGAATCTCGCACAGAATCTGAAAATGAAGTACAGTTTAAAGGACCATCAAGTGAATACTTACCTGCCCATGTCACTGAATCCACCAGAGATGTTCCTGCTGAAAAGGATGTCCCTGTTAGACGAACAGAAAGAGAGATTAACAATGATTCAGAAGTTTCTAGTGATGCTGTACGACGTTCAACCAGAAGCAGAGAGAAGCCTGATCGGTTTCAGTATTCACGCCTCGGCAGTCCACTGGTGTCTATCGTTCAATCTCTGTTTCAAGGCCTGAACACCGCTCTTACGGATGAACTATTGGCAGCTGAACAGACTAAACTGAACTCATCCTTCAACATGTTACCGGACTGCAGTTCCCATGCACAGGGATGTGCATAGATTCAAGAGGGGAGGGTGTAACCCAGGTTAAAAATCTGTATTGAAAACAATTCATTATGTATTAAAATCCAAGATGTTTGAATATAGAGAGACCGTTAAATTCATAGTAGAAAAACAATTCATCGAATATGATGCTTATTAGCCGATTAAAACAAACATGTTCATTTAAAAGGAGAAATTTAATAGTAACAGAAAAGTCATGGATTTGTAATTTGAAAGAGCGGTCTTTCATCCAATCAGAAGAGAAGCTCCCACCCACTGACCCCAATCGCGCGGGTTAACTTCCTCTGAAGCCGCTATGAGAACGAGAGCAAGCCAGATTGAGCGCGAGACGAGTCAGAACACAATTTCGGATGGTAAAACAATTAAAAACCTGGATAAAACTGAGAGAAAGCTGTAGGAAAAATTCCCCCGGCCGACCTGGACCTGTGTGAGCGCAGTGAGAGAAGCCGTACGGGAGGAGAAACGCATCGGTGAGCGACCAGTTTGAGATGCTAAATTGTAAAAGCTAACAGCGACACGTAGCGCAGGAGCTAATGTCGGAGCGCTAGCTCCAAGTGCTATTTAACATTGGGGTAGACACACTAGGATATGAACGCAATGCATTAGTCTGCCATTTGGTTTTTGCATAAGAGACATTTGTTTTCCCCTTTTTGTTAGTTCTTTTTTCTGTGCTCACTGAGCAGTATAGAGTGTGTATTTAGCATTCTGCCTGTGAATTTTAAGTATTTCTGAGAATTGTGATGTCATATTACAACAGAAATTCAGTAACCAGAAGTTATTCTCTATTGAAGTAGAGTTTGTATAGACTTAATATGATTTTATACCAATTCATTGAGAGTTGGCAAAGTTAAAATGAATGCTCTGACCCTACCCGTCGTAGGTCAGGTTTTTCTGTTGGACCTACGTGGATGATGGAGCCAGTCGAAGTTTGATGGCGAGCCAAACCCCGGAGGATACTTAGAGATACCGCGGACCCTGAATCCTTTTTCACTGTGACATACATACACATCACCCTCACACTAGTGAGGTGGGACCCTTTTTTTTTAATTGTACAAAGTTGGTTGGACTGAACATTAGCGACATAAGCAGCTGCAGAGATTTTATTTTATTTTCATACTTACCCGGGTAAGAGTTGTTTAGACTGTGTTAATACATGTGTTATTATTGTGGCCTTCCCGTTCTGTTTTAATAAATAGGGAAACATTTCTGTATTTTTAAAAAGTGCACTGTGGTTGTGTCGTTCTTGTGCATCGATTGGTCGATCCTGGGCTCCGTAGTCAAAACTTAGAGCTTCTGATAATACTGGTCATTAGATCTAATCATCCCCCCTCTCTTCTTTAAAGAGAGAAGTGTTACATACACAGCAGTGATATCACTAGTGTGCCCTGGTTGTGTGCCGATATTCACTCTATTACATCTGCAAGCTTGTACTGTATAAACATCTAAATTCTGTACTGCAATGGCCCCATTGGATGCATAGACCAAAAATATGTGCATGCGAAAAGTTAATGTTTCATAGTCACTAAGATCTGATTACTTCAAGGCAATGACAGCCATCTTGGACACCATCTTGTTTTTCATATTTAATGTTATAACCCTCATGAAAATAACAGATAATGGAAATGATATTTTCATACAACCATATGCACGTAATCGGTGTTACAAATTTCTCACTCTCACAATTCTATATCTGTATCTATATGCTGTATCTCAAGAACTGTAATGGATACAGAAATGTACAGGTACCAACATGTCCGCAATACCCAACTTTATATTCAACTTCGATATATGTATGGGGCTTAAATTCAAGTCATTTTGAGTTATAAAGGAAAAACCACATTTTTGGGGCGGACATCTTGGATTTTGGGGCCGCCATCTTGGAATTTTGCGTGGCTAACGTTATTTTTAAAAAGAGTGGGGTTTGAAGAGTATATGTACCAAATTTCATGCTTGTATAACAAAGTGAACGATTCAGGCTATATTATGCATTTGTCTGCTCCACTATCATGGTCATTTTTGTCAGAAGATGTTGGTGGTGTTTGTTAAAAAAAAGAATAAATTAATTTTGGTTTCCATGGTGTGTGATAACTAAACATCTCGCTAAATTAGAGGAAAGGGAAATCAAAGCGGTGTCAGACTGCTTTTGTGTGGATCAGTAAAGACATTTATGCGGAGATTTATAAGATCTGAGGATCAGATGAGAGAAGTTGAACAATTTAAAAAAAAAAAAGGAAAATAAAAATGAGTTTTTATTTACAGGTTAAAGTTAACTGATGTTAGTGAAACAAAAAATCATAGGAGTTGTTTGATCTTAGCTGTTTGTTATTATTTAACTTTGACATGATTGCATTTAGATTTACTATTTTATACCTTTAAATGTATTTCATATTTCATATACACTGTATTATATATATTATAAGTCAAATGCATTTTTCATTAACTCATTATTGTATATTAATCAGTGTTATACTTTTTATGCTGTTTTAAATTGTTCTGACTTCCATGCCAATAAAGCTGTTTTAAATTAAACTGAATAGAAACCTTAATACCTTTTAAGATAATACCTTTCAGATAAATTATGAACAACAAGAAGAACATTTTATCTGACCCTGACTGTGGCAGTGTAAGGTGTCTGATCTAAATGAGTTTATATTGATAAGGTCAATGTTTGTACGTCCATCAGTTTTAAACACATTTCTACGCGGTGTATCTAAACTATTCTGTTATTGCTATTGTAAGCAGCTAGCTAAGCAAGGGCATGGGCTGAGAAAGCAGCTGCTTCTGATGACACTCAGACTGAAAGGCTGAAAGACTCAACATACCAAACAAGACCAGGAGAAAATAGATCTCATTTCACAGCTCTCACTTTAGGCAGATGATTTACAAAGTTCGCTGTCACCTCCTCAGTTTAAGGAGAAGTATGTGCTTACAGGGACAACTTTCCTGTAAGACACTAGATATTCTGTTTCTGCAGCAGAACATAAAAACGCATCTCAGACCTCAGGAGTTTTGTCATGGCTTCACAAACTGTAGGGACCCTCTATTTTTTAATCATACCGCACCAACGCAGCTGAGAAATTCAGGCACAGAGGATTCAGTTCTCGTAAAGGGTTCACATGAGACACAAAGGAAACTAGAAAAATTGCATTTCCTTGCAGAAAATGCATGGAAATGCTGAGTGCCAAAATCGGAAAAAGCAATGCTAAACTGAGGAAAGGAGGAAACGGAGGAAGGCATAAATGTAAAAGCTGTTTCAGGGGTGAAAAAGAAATAGAAGTTGAATAGTTGTGAAAATGGTTCAAGGACACATATTATGACACATATATGTGTCCTACTTCTCACAAAAGTAAGAAGTGGCATAAGTTTAAGTTGTAGTACTAGAAGTAGTATGATAATAGGTAGTTGTAGTAGTGATATTAGTAGTCATGTAAGCAGTAGAAGTAGTTTTAGAATGGAAGAAGTAGAAGTCAAATCAGTAGAGCTCGTGGTAGAAGTAAGAGTAGAAGTAAAAAAATATTAAGAGAAGCAAGAGCAGTGGAGGTAGAAGTGAAGATACAAGTTAAAGTGATATAAGTAGTAATTTTAGGGGTAGAACTGGGATTTTGTTTTCAGAATTAAAACATACATAAATTATGAGAATGATTCTGAAGTGGGAAAATTTTTAAATAATTAGAAGTCCTAAAGTGTTAAACAGGTTTGAAGTATCAGAAAGGTCTGAATCAGTTTGAATGAGTTTGGATTTGTCTGAAGGATTAAATAAAGCATGATTAATGAGAATAATTTTAAAGTTGGGAAAGTTAAATGAATAAAAATCCCGAGTACATCCCGTAATATCCTCAATGAGCTGGATTTTTGGAGCCCTGAATGGTTTCTGTAGGTCAAAGTTTGTGGTAGGAGATAGGGGCCAAAATTTGTCAAGTGCTCTGGTAAAGGGTTTTAAATGTAACCCCCAGTGCTCTGTGTACTGAGCCTGGCTTCATGTGTCTCATATGGCTGTCAGAAGCTAGCCTGGCTGGGCCATCCAGTTGCGTGAATCACTTGCCGTTCCTTCCCACAACAGTCTGGACTTCGGCCAATTGGGAGCCCTAAAAGTGGGCGGGAGTACTTTCCTTGATAGACAGACTACTGTAACCAATCACCGTAACCAAACATCTGACGTCATCACAGTGCGCAACTGTGTTCCCTGCTGGGCTCTTAAGCACCAAGTAAAGGTTTGGTAATATTTCAATGTGTACGAGCAAACAATGTCTTTTACGTCTTTTTCTGCGGATATAAACGATTTCTGCCGACTTTGCAAAGTCAACTGCAGAATTAACAGCGTTCTGAATGAACTGCGCTTTGAAAAGTCCCACAACATGTGTTAGACGTCTCCATCTACACATGGACCAATCAGGGGCTGCCTTTCCCTGTTGTCCGGGGAACAGTGGAAACACAGTCGCTGCTTGGCCTGTGTTTTTTCTGATTTGTAATACACGCTCCCAATTGGCCAGAGTCCAGACTGTTGTGGGAAGGAACGGCAAGTGATTCACGCAACTGGATGGCCCAGCCAGGCTAGTTAGAAGCAGCTTTCCATAAACTGTGTGTCTCTGCTGAACATATTGATACAATTAATTCACAAAATCCTAAATACACCCCATAATGTCCTCAATGAGCTGAATTTTTGAAGCCCAGAATGGTTTCTGTAGCTCAAAGTTTGTGGGTGAAGATAGGTGGTGAAGCAGACACATAATAACTGTGTGTACATGTAGGTCTTTTAGACAGAGACACACATGCACACACATTGTCAGACTGTGTGTGTGTGTCTCGTTAATGATTGCATCCTAAACAGCTGTAAGATCAAAGGCATTAACTGACCTACTGTTTGAATGAGAAGCTGCCTAACTTCTGTGAATTTAGGGCCTCTGAACTTCTTCACATAGCGTGATTTCCTTAAATCCCAGAATGAAAATAAGAACACCGTACAAATCCTTCACCCTTCATGAACACAATGATGTGTTTTTCATGTCTGTACTCTAAAAAATGTGGCCACAACAGCAAGTTAAAAAAGTCTGTGCCTGAGTGATGATCTGGATTTCCTTGGAGAAAAATTACATTAGGGCCAATGCCAGGGTTCTTTGCCTTTTTTGGACAGTTGGTCACCTGCTGGCCAAGGGGTATGATTTAATGATTTGAAACCTCTTTTGTGAGAAGCAGGACACATATACCTCCATTTTGATGTATTTTTTATGGCTGTGGAGTGAAATTTGTGGGCATGGGAGCGATATATTTGAGCGAGGTTCTGTCGATCCAAGAGCAGCTGTCCACTCTAGCGATGACATTATAACTCTAGCCTCTCCAGTACCCACCCATTATAAAGCCTGAAAATTTGCTGAAAACCATGAGGTGCATAAAGCTAAATTGTGGAAAAACTGTAGGAGATAGCACAAAAAGTGAATAGAACATTAATAGTCAAGATAATGAACATTTTAAAGCAAAAATGAGGTCTGTAGGTGAAAGTATGCTGAAGTTATAAGGCTGAGAAGGTGGAAGAATAAAAGGAAGAACTGGAAGATTTCCCCATTGACTTCAATGGGAAAAATTTTGCACAAAAAGTAAAAAATATCAAAAAGTTTAAAGGGTAGAAAAAAGGAAAAATTTGGTTAAGCCTTATAACTAATTAACTTTTTCTGATTAAGCATTAAATGCTTAATCAGCATTTCCACTTAATAATAATAATAATAATAATAAGCTAAAAAAAGCAATGCAAAACTGCTTAAAAAAGGTTAAGGGGCTGAAGAAGAAGGAGAAGTAGAAGTTGGATGAAAGTGAAAATTGTTGGAATAAAAATAGTATCAATGTGCTTCATAAATTAAAATTGCATTTATGCTGAATAACGCTAAATTGCAAAAAAATTGGATAAGGGGGAAAATTACGTTAAAACACAGAAAAGTGAGAAGTGGCATAAGTTTAAGTTGTAGTACCAGAAGTAGTATGATAATAGGTAGTTGTAGTAGTTATATTAGTAGTCATGTAAACAGTAGAAGTAGATTTAGAAAAGAAGAAGTAGAAGTCAAAGTAGTAAAGCTCGTGGTAGGAGTATTAGTGGCAGTAAAAGTTAGAGACGTAGTAAAAAAATATTTAGAGAAGCAAGAGCAGTGGAGGTAGAAGTGAAGATACAAGTTAAAGTGATATAAGTAGTAATTGTAGTAGTAAAACTAGGAATCTGTTTGAAGAATTAAAAAATGCATGATAATGAGAATGATTTTAAAATGGGAAAAATTTGAATAATTAGAAATCCTCAAGTATTAGACAAGGTTGAAGTATTAGGTTTGAATCAGTTTGAATGAGTTTAAATTTGTCTGAAGAATTAAATAATGTATTAATAACGGGATTAATTTTAAAGTGGGGAATATTTAAATGAATAAAAATCCTGAGTACACCCCATAATGTCCTAGATGAGCTGAAGTTCTGGAGCCCTAAATGGTTTCTGTAGCTCGAAGTTTGTGGAAGGAGATATGGGCCGAAGTCTGTCAAGCGCTCTCGTGAATGGATTTAAATGTAACCCCCAG